GTAAGCTTCAAAGCACGTCTTCAGAGCAGCGGTTGAATCCTGCAGAGCTATGTGATGGGTGAAATTAAACCTGCCACAGACACTCCATTTGAATTCTTACAGGAGGCAGGTTCCTCCCAGCATTGCAGATGGGCTGGTCATAATTCAGCTCCTCTGGTCTGGATTCCTATCAACGTTATTAAAACTGTTCCTGTACAATGACTTGAGGAAAAGCAATCAAAATTAACTAGGTAGACAGAATCTGACTGTGGGGATGAAATAGTGGCTAAGGCCACTCCACGACCAGGACCCAAGGCTACAAGAGCATATTTTGGGTAATTGTGAGACCCTAAGAGTAAAGAGCCTTGAATATAATCTCAGGGCTAGGATGAAAGAGACGTTACTGGGGCCTGCTCGAGGCAATCGACGAAAGAGTAAAGGGCAGGGCGAGTAAGGGTATTCAAAAAACAAATACAATGGCTCTCTCTCTCTCTCATCACCTGTGTTCAGTGGTGTCACGCCACTTCCTCCACCCCGGGGTGGCCAATGGTGATGGGTGGATGAAGGAGGGAATGAGGGCCAGGCTGGTTGATGTCAGTTGCAGTTTATTCCAATCTTGTCTTCGTTCTCTTCCTCCTCCTTTCCCTGATCCCCTTCATCCTCCTCTTGAATCCTGCTCCTTCACACTTCTGGATTCTCCTCGATTCTCCCTGATTCTCTTGATCCTTCCCCTACATCCTACTTCATTCTCCTTCTCTCAATTCTCCCCTTGCCCATTCTTACAGCCTTCGTTATCTCCCCAAAAGCATGAGGGGTTGGGGTAACAATTACACATAGGTGTGGTCATACAATCAACAGAGGTAAAATCCTTCCCTCAGGGGAACCTTCTTCTAGGACAAACTCTCACTCAGCAGAACCCACCCAAGAATGAAATTCCATCTATGTGTCTGTTTCTCCTTTCCTTAGTCCAACAAACATATAAACATTCATAATATTCATTATTTTGTATGAGATACATTAAGTTTATAGGATGACACTCCTGGGGGCATCTCACCATAGATCTGAGACTACAGTGCTCAGGCCAGATTAGTCTTTCCTAACCCTAACAGGGTCCTAATTCAGTTGTTACTTTTTGGATCATGACAGAATTTGTCCATGACCATGCTCTTAACTTAGTTAAGTATTGTGGAACTTTGGCCTGGTCTATTTCGATGCCTGGGTCCATCCAGTCCCTCATCGGGACCCTGTTTTGGGGGTGCTAGGAAGTAAGGGCAGCTGAGGCTTAAGTCAAGAGAACAGATGCCCAGGAATGAATGTTTTTCAGAGTAAATTAACTCCCAGTTACAAAAGCGTAGCATTAACTGTCTGCCTGTGTCTATACAGAAAGAAAATTGCTTTAAAGTACACTATGCAAAAGAACATAAAGGAAGGAGAAAAGTGGTATTTCACTTATGAATAAAAGACCAGTGTCCTTAGAAGAATCTGACCTTACAAGTTAACAGAGTCTGATTAGGGAGAAAAGGCGATAGACCAATTGGGGAAGCAGAGCACAAAGGAAAAGTTTACAGATAAGCAAAGGAATGGAAGTGACTCTGTGATGGGTGTAGCCGGATAAACCTAAGCTCCCTATGGCAAGGGAGAAAGGACAAATCAGTGTTATCCTACAATGTATTGATGGAGAAGGGAAAGCTTCAGGTTTTTATGAAAAGGTTTGTGGGGATCTTTGTTTCCTACCATCAGCGCTATTCACCAGATTAGTCATTGCATTGTGATTGGTTTGTTTGATTTTGTATTGGGAATGAACCCAAGACTTCTCTTGTATAAGTCCATGTGATTACTTGCCTTTTGGGTTTTTTGGCTTTGCTTTGGTTTTGTTTTGGGGTCATGCCCAGATGCTCAGGGCTTACTCCAGGCTCTGAGCTTAAGTGTCACTCCTGGCAAGGTTCAGGTACCATATGTAGTGCTGGAGACTGAACCCAGCTGGGCCCCGTGCCAGACATGTACTCTTCCCACTGTTCTATCTCTCCAGCCCCTCCGTGTATTTTCTTTAAATGTCCATTTCAAGCAATCAGGTTCTTTTGTCCTTTTTTGATTAACCTATTCAAAGTCAAGTACAACTGAATTTGCAACAGTGATTAGCTGTCTAAATATTACTCCTAAGAGTGGTACCAATCACCTGATATGTTTTTCAAATATTGTTTTCTGTAGCCTGTTTTCATTGTAAAAAATTAGATGGAACAAAAAAACAAAAAGGAAAAACAGAGGTATTTTATCTCTTTTTTGCCCTAGTCCAAGAGATAAATCCTTGGACTAATAGATATACATATATATATAAACCACATATTATATATAAACATATAAGATATATATCTAGATAAATAAATTAAAAATAAAAATGTATTTGTATATTATATAAATACATTTAATATATTAAAACCACATATAATTTTATATATCTATAAAACCACTAATCTATATAAAACCACTAATTTTATATATAATAAAACCACTAATCCAAAGATCTATCTATTATCCTTAAGTATCTTAGTATCTCATTCTTACTTTGGACAACCTGGCAGGCTACCAGATGCAACCTGTCCACATGGCAGAGTCTGACAAACTCCCCGTGGTGTACCCAATATGACAAATACCAGTAACAATGATGGGTCTCATTCTCCTAACCCTGAAAGAGCCTTGAATATGGCACTTTTTAAAATCTCAGGGCTGGGGCAAAGGAGACGTTACTGATGCCTGCTTGAGGCAATCGACGAAAAACAGGATGGTCGTGATCGTGATCCTTAAGTATGATATAGATTTACCTATATTCTTAAGGATGTATACTTCCTTCCATCTAACTTCACACACAATATATGCATAGAAATACATTCCAGCAAAATCTCACATCAAACATGCTTTTTTCACCAAAGACATGTATAATTCTCTATCTGCTGTCTAGGACTTCGTCTTTATACATTTGCCATTGCATCTTTTGAGAATCTGACCAACCCACCAAGTTGGGTGGAAAATACTTACTACAATACAAGATCTCTAAGAGTTACATTATGATTAAAACTTTTTTCTTCAATCTTTTCCCCCAAAGATTACAGAACAGCAACTATCTGCATTGTATTTATGGTCTTTTAGGAACTATAACCTAGAGACAAAATCCTGAGATGGTTTGCAAATGCATGAGGAAGAGGCACAGGTCACATGTAGTTGCCACATGATTTTACAGGAAGGGCGTGAGCAATTGTAGTATTTGGTATCTGCTGGAAGCATCGTGGGTGGGGAGAACCCCAGAACCAAACCCCTGCAGATAAGAAGGGAAAACTGCACTGTCCAGTTATGCCCTTAAAATAAGCTGTGAAAATTGAATTACAATAGTAAAAGGTAGGCAGTTTTCTGTGTATTCTAATGCCACCCTATAGTTTCATGTTTAGATGAGAAAGAAATAATGAAAACAAGAAAGATAAAAGTCACTCCAAAGCCTTTCATTAAGAAGTTCATAAACACCAGAAGTACAAAACACCATACAGTCAAAGAACTCCGGACATCACTGGGTGAACCTTGGAGATCTTGAGTACCGTCAGCTCTCCAGGGTTCAAGCTACAGCACATCCTCCACCTATGTTGGCCAAGTTTCTCTAAGAGTGCCCCCCAGATCTCTTTGAGCACTGTTTGAGTTCCCCCGCCCCACAAAAATTGTGGCTCCCAGTATGTTCTTCGGTTTCATCATCTCCCACAGCCCTCCCAGTCCTCCATCACCACACAAGGCCAAAGAGAACACCTGTAACTTCTTTTCACACACTTTTGCTTTTGGACTGCAGCTGCTTCTGTCTTCCATCTCTTTTTCCCAGTCAGTGTGGGAACCTTTATTTATTTACTTATTTATTTATTTATGTATTACTTATCCTTTATGAGTCAGCTACTTTTCATCCTAAAGCACAAGGTGGTAGAGCCCAGGCTTCACAGGTCCAAAGCCCTGTGTCTGATCCTGGGCATAGCCTGAACACCACTAAATATAGCCAGATTCAAGGTCTTCTATAACCTATTCTGCATCTGTAGTACTTGTGATTCTGTTTTGTAGTTGTTGGTTTCTTTAACTTATCCTCTACTGTATTGTGAGTTCATTGATGCCAGAAACTTAACTGCTATATATCTTCATGACACTAGTCATCAAAGTCTAGATGCGGTAGGCATTAAGTAAATATTTGCTTTATATAGGAGGTCAGCAAAATTATTTATGAATTAATATAAGGATTATGTGACTATGTGGAATCAACTTTAAGTGTTTGCATGCATGTTGGGAGTGCTGAAGAGATAACTTAACCAGCTGGAGTGTGTGTGCTATATGCAGAAGATGCAGTTTCCATCATCATGGTCTCCTGAGAACCACAAAGGACACACCCCAAGGACAGAGCCAAAAACAGACTCCAAGAACTACCACATGTGGCCCACACTTCTCTTCCCCCAAAAGCAAATAAATTAAATTTTAAGATAAAATAAATGTTGGAATTTTCTTATGGTTAATTTGTGTATATTTTACTTCGAAATTCTCAGTAACACCCAAAGTAATTCCCATTAAAATAAGGCAGGGTTTATATGCAATTCTAGTAAGGTTTTTTATTTTAAGGCACATCAAAGTTATAATCTATCAAATAGGAGACACTTTCCACGCAGAGTTACTTAAAGCAAGTTCAGATGTTGCACAAGAAGTAGTTGAGTATTCTATTTCAAATTTCAAATGATTTAAGAAATTAAGGCTATGCCTGGAGATGAGATTATAAGTCATTTGTGCACAGTAAAAACAAAATCAACTTTTCTATGCAAGTAATGATGATGTTTTTCTTAAATTTGACTGGGAGAGTGGTGGTTTGGTTAATGTACTATGATAACATGTCACACATACATGTATATACTGTTTTGAATGTTTTCATTGTTTTCTGTATGAATGAAATTTTATTTTAGGTAGGCCTAGTTCTTGAGAATAGAATCCTAACCTCTGTTAATTCTGACTTATAGGGTATCTTTGTTACTAGGGTTCAGCCTGATGGACCAGCATCTAACCTGCTGCAGCCTGGTGATAAGATCCTCCAGGTAAGACCGTTTCCTTTCTAAAAAAGAGAAAATGTCAGCACTGTAACAAATATGTAATCATGTTACTCAGTTGAATAACTTGAATGAAGTGATTGAGAACAAATCCTCCTCACGTTTCCTTTTAGCCTTTATTGTTTGGGATTGGGGCATTAAAAATTAATTCAGCAGGGCTGGAGCGATAGCACAGCGGGTAAGGTGTTTGCCTTGCACACAGCCAGCCTGGGTTCGGTTCCCAGCATCCCATATGGTCCCCTGAGCACCACCAGGAGTAATTCCTGAGTGCGTGAGCCAGGTGTAACCCCTATGCAACACCAGGTGTGACCCAAAAAGAAAAAAAATTAATTCAGCTTGATAAAACCCTAGATTCTCACCCCACCCCATATCCGGCACATGGTAGGTATTCTGTAGATTTTCTTTTCAATGTAATATAAGAAGAAATAATACATTTGATGCAGGCTTAGTTATCAAGTACAAATAAGAGTAATCACTTATTCAAATAGCATATTCCAGTGACTTTAGATTAGAAGGAAATGATTAATATTGTATTTCTCGGCCATAAGGTCATTCTTATCTGAACGCTCTAGAATACATAGTTCTATCTTGTTATCCTCCCTGCTCAAATATTTGAACAAAAGTTTATATGTATATAAAATGACTTTAAAATAGATTGTCTAAAGAATTTCTTTAGCTTAAATCTTCTGCATATCAGAATAGTTCAGAAGCTGGAAAGATAGTACAGCAGATAGAGTTCTTGCCTTGCACACAGGAAGTAACTGCTCAGTGCAGAGCCAGGAGTAAGCCCTGAGCACTGCAGGGTGTAGCCTAAAAACAAAACAAAGCAAAAACAAAACAAAGCAAAAAAAAAAAAAAAAAGCAGAATCAGTCACATCGGTAAGCAACCAAGTACTTGTTATTACCTCATTCTTTTTTCTTCCTTTGTCCTTTTTTCTCACTGAATTCACTTCTTGTTTCCAAAATCAGGGCAAGGTTCTTAAGTATCAGCAATTTATTTAAAATCCAGTGTATTATTTATAATCCCCAGAAATTATCTACTGTGCAACTAGATGGTACTTCTTGGCATTGCTGATAAATGTCTGTTTAGAGCAATTCTGGACCGGAGCGATAGCATTGTGGGTAGGGCGTTTGCCTTGCACATAGCCGACCTGGGTTCGATTCCTCAGCCCCTCTCAGAGATCCCGGCAAGCTACCGAGAGTATCCCACCCACACGGCAGAGCCTGGCAAGCTACCCATGACGTATTCAATATGCCAAAAACAATAACAAGTCTCTCAATGGAGATGTTACTGGTGCCCGCTCAAGAAAATAGATGAACAACGGGAGGAGAGTGCTACAGTGCTCAAGCAATTCCAAAATGGTGCAACCAAATGTTCAAAGGAGTTCAAGACAGTGAAAGGAGATGTGTGGAAATGGATCTACTCGCATTGTCTATACAGACAGTTAAGAGACTGCAGTAGCTTCATTCAGCTCAGCTCTGAGGAGACTATCTCCTATTTACTGAACCTTAGAAAGTTCTAGAGCTAGATGTTCTATATAACATATATATGCATATGTACACACACACATATATAATACAAAAATTGCTTTAAAGTCTTATTCACAGAAATATTTTGAAGTAGCAAAATCATGTATACTCAATTTCAACAGCCATTTGTCAGAAATTTCTAACATTTGCTGGTCAAGGGTCATTCTCTGACACACTAAGTTACTGTACTATGTAGCTCTGTGACCATCGAATTACCAATCCTGGACAAAAAATTAAGCAGCACTTGGTCTGGGAAATAAAAGCATTGAAATAAAAAAAAACATATGAAATCATTTAAAATCTGCTTTTACCATTTTAGTGTGGGACATTATAATTTTGGATTGTCTAACTAGCTTTTTGATCCTAAACATTTCACATCATGTTTATGGGACTCAGATTCATTATGTGTACAATGAACTGTGGTTTATATATTGTCAGATGTCTCTCCAGCTCAAAAAATGTAATTGTTCAGTCAGCTTATCCATTTCCAATAAGCCAAGAATAAACAATATAATTCCCCAACACTTGCTAAATGTTTCTCCTTAGAAGGAAATTACTAGCTTTGTTTTCTCCATGAAATTTGAAAGAAATCTTTTTAAATCAAGCTGAAAAATATGTAGCCAATTAATCACAAATTTCAAATTTATCAGCATGGGGCTCTAGGTAGAGAAGCATTCCATAGATCTGAGATCAGTCTGGGAAGATGTCTTTTTTCCATGACTGATACAAAAAAAAATATTTCTCTCCAGGGCTGGAGAGATAGTACAGTGGGTAGGGCATTTGCCTTGCACACAACTGACCCAGGTCCAATCCCTGGCATCCCATATGGTCCCCCAAGCACTGCCAGGAGTTATTCCTGAGTACAGAGCCAGGTGTAATCCCTGAACATCGCTGGGCATGGCCCAAAAAGTAAAAAAAGAAAAAATCCTCTCCAGGCTCAGAAAATAAATATGTATTTATAAATATAGACATTAAAATGTTACTATACCTGTACCATATGTAAGTGTATATGCATAGTATATAATAAATACATTTAGATATAGATATACTGCCTCTGGATATGAATAAAATGCTGACAGGAAATAAGAATTAAATTAGTATTCAGCTGCAGGCTTACAATATTTTCAGGCTGTGAAATTCTAGAAAGATTATAGAAGGTGAGACCATGAAGATTTAGTACTTCCAGTCCCTCCGCCGTGATACAGCAACAGTAAAGTTAGCAACGAAGTTAGCAAACAGCAAACGGTATTACTAATGCAAGAAATAGGAACTTGAGGCTCATGAGGTTAATAGCCAAAAATACTGCATTCGAGCTGCACCTGGGACTTCTCCCTCCACAAATGACTGCCAAAGTTTGGTCATTTTATTTTTGCTCTAGATCACCTTTGTGTCTTGTACAATAAAATCAAAGTCGGTTTCAATACAAGAAAATAGCACTCAGACCTTAATCAAATAAATTATTGCATTTACCGTTTCATTCATACTAGTCAGAAAGCGTATGTGACCAATTGTACTTTCTGACAAAAAAATGTAAGAATGACTAAATCTAAATGGAAACCCTTACCTGTCTTAGTGGTTAAGTGAACAAATTAATTTTTTTGTCTCTTCCTCATATTATTCTCTTAGTTTAAAGACCACTGGGTAAAATTGATTAATAACATTGAATTATCTTGTCATTTACAGAATCATTAGAACATGTTCTCACTAGAGTAAATGGATCACAAGTCTTTATAACAACCTGGAAAATCACAGGGAAAGGGGGAAAAAAACAGAAAACAATGATCTCCCTATGGAATGCAGTTACTCAGTTTGATCTAACCCAAGAGCAAATAGTAAAATAGCAAAAGAGAAATCATTTTCCCAAACCTCCTCCAAACCCAGAAGTGCTTGGTACAAGAGTTCCCTTTCTCTTTTGATAGCTCTTTATCCACATTGTAAAATTTTTTAAATTGAGTTTACAGTAATATTAATATTGGTTTCTCATGCACATAATTCCAACACTATCCACCACATTTTATTGTCTATAGATATATGTATGATTATGCTATTTGAGCTTCCTGAAAGTGTATGCTTATGCACTGATGTTAACTGAAATGTGGTCCCATCATTTTTCTGGCATTTTACTATTCTTTTTTTTTTTTTTTTTTTTTTTTTTTTTTTTTTTTTTTTTTATTTATTGAATCACCTTGGGAAAGGTTACAAAGCTTTCAGGTTTAGGTCTCAGTCATGCAAATATCAAACACATTTCCCTTTACCAATACTTTTTTTTTTTTACCATGAAGAACCCCAATAAAACCCCACCCCCCACCCCTCCCAGTCCCTGTGGGGCAGATGAATTCTAGTTAACACTCTATCTGCTTTGATTAGATTCATTGTTTTAATAAAATATTCACCACTATTATTTAGAGTTTACCCCCCCACCCCAAATCAGACATGCTGAAAAAGCATTGTGACGTGATTTGCTTTCTACAGCTGGGTTCAAGAATTAAATGTTGGTTTTGGATTTCTGCTATTTTACTTATTGACCCTGGAAGTATTTATACTGAAAGTCAGATAGTTAAGAAATTGGTTTCTGTGCTCTGGAGTCGTGGCCATGCTGGAGAGCCACTAGTGGGGGGCAACTGGTGGCCTCGGTAGGGCGTGAAGGGCAGACCGAAACGCCCCCTTCCCATGAGGTTTTAGTCGCCCCCCACTCCCCCGGCTCATACCTGCTGTCCACAAGGCTCCCACGCGGCCGCCATCTTTCTTTCCAGAGAGGAGAAGGCGACTGGGGCAACACCCTTTCCCCTCCGGACAGACATGATGGCCTGGATTAAAGCATAGTCCTTTCACTTTTCTGCTCCAAGCTGCCGGGTTCTGCATTAAGTCCCTGTGCTTCTGGGGCTGTGGCCGTGCTGGAGAGCCGCTCGCGGGGGGCAACTGGTGACCTCGGTAGGGCGTGAAGGACGGACCGGAACGCCCCCCTTCCCATGAGGTTTTAGTCGCCCCCACACCCCCGGCTCATACCTGCTGTCCACAAGGCTCCCATGTGGCCGCCATCTTTCTTTCCAGAGGGAGGAGGGCGGAAGGGACCAACACCCTTTCCCCTCCGGGCAGACATGATGGCCTGGATTAACGCATAGTCCTTTCACTTTTCTGCTCCAAGCTGCTGGGTTCTGCATTAAGTCCTTGTGCTTCTGGGGCTGTGGCCGTGCTGGAGAGCCGTTCATGGGGGGCAACTGGTGACCTCGGTAGGGCGTGAAGGACGGACCGGAACGCCCCCCTTCCCATGAGGTTTTAGTCGCCCCCACACCCCGGCTCATACCTGCTGTCCACAAGGCTCCCATGCGGCCGCCATCCTTCTTTCCAGAGAAGAGAGGGCGAATGGGGCAACACCCTTTCCCCTCTGGCAGACTTGATGGCCTGGATTAACGCATAGTCCATTCACTTTTCTGCTCCAAGCTGCTGGGTTCTGCATT